ATATTTCTCCTTGCATCCTGTCTTCCCTGGTCACTATCCCCTCACTCCCTTTTTATCCCATTTCTGCATTTCCTCCTGCCCTTAAACCCATTTTCTCTGCCATCTTCACTCACAGGAGGAAGCTCTTAATGGTGGACCACCAGTGAAAGGCTTAACAGAAGAAGTGAGTGTATAGGGGGACTAAGGGGTGGTTGAGCATGAGGGGTTCATTATGTATTTTTTCTTACTAAAAACATATTTTAATAACACAAGTACTGTATACATACATTTGTGTGGTACCCCAGAGTTCAAATATTTGTGATAAAATCTCCCTTAGCTAGCACCTTATTCCACTGCCTTACCCCTGCCTCCCATCAGATCGGTGAGGTAAGTTACCTTCCCCACCTTTTTAATGCATTTACTGATTGGTATCTGTATGACTTGCAGAAATATACTATTTCAAAATTATGTATTTTAGCCAGTGGGTATCTTCTTCAACTACATGTATTTTTCACTTAAGTATATGCCCTAGGAATACCTCCTAGGACTTCTATTCTTGGTGCACAGAAGTTCCTAAGATGGATTTATTCAGTCATTCACTTAACCATGGACATTCCATTACTTCTAAGCCTTCCCCCGGAAATACACGGTACATCAATGAGCGCGCCTCCTTCTGTACAATACAAGTGTTTCTTTAGGCAGATGCTGAGAGGTGGAGTCCATTTTAATAGCCATTGCCAAATCGCCCTCCAAGGTGGCCGTCCCCTTCTCCATACTGTCACCGGTGTGTTGGGACATTCCCTCATTTTATTTTCCATTTTCTTGATTTCTGGTGAGAATGGGCATTTTTTAAACATCATTGTCAATATTTTATTCCTAGTGAATTAAGATTTATTTTACTTTTAAAGCAGGAATTGGAAAAACAATGGAAATTGGAAAATGAGGAGGGTGGGGAGAGGATCCACCATTATTTTAGGACAAGAGCCACTAGAATTTGTGTGTATAATTTTTTCTATATACACCTTTCACAAAGTTATACTTTTGGCTTGTTTATTTAGCAAAATCTCATAGATCATTACGTTCGGTGATGGTTTTAGCATAAAGCAGAATTGTTCAAATCTGCTCTTTGTCTCTGGTGCTCTTGGCTACTTTGTGAAATAAATGTAATTAGAGATGACTTTTATTCACTGAGGTCCTGTTGTAGGCTCTGAGACCAAAATCAAGAATCAAGCCAACCAGGATCCCTGTCCTGGTAGCACTTACTTCCTGGTGGGGAAAGACAGGAAATAGGATGTTAGAAGGTGTCATGTGTGACACAGGAAGAAGGTGGGGAGGGCTGGACCATGCCGGAGGCTCACTTGTAAGTGGACTTTGGAGCCAAGATTTGGAGGTGGGAGAGTGAAGCCACATGGGAAAGTCCTCCAGCACAGGGATGGCCAGAACAAGGCTCTGGTCTCACCATGAGGAGTAGCTCTGGGGCCAGCCTGACAGGGCGTTTTCTGTACATGACACGGGGGGACACTGGAGGGCTTGGAGCAGAGGGTGACAGGATCACTCTGATGCTAGGAACTACCTCTGGGGAGTGACTAGGGATGGTCAGAACCCCAAGACTAGGAAGGTGTGTCATTGGTCCAGATAAGAGGTGATGGCGACTTGGGGCCGTGTGGTCACTGTGGAGGTGATGCGAGGCCTAGGTGTACTTTGAAGGTACAACACGGTGGTTGGCCTAAGGCTTTCGCCTGAGCAGAGAGAAGAATATACATCCCAGAAGTGAGCTATGGAAGACACTAAAAAAAAAAAAAAAAAAAAGGGGGGG